CTCCCATGCCATCACATTACTGCTTTAATCTGTTCACAGCACTTATCATTAGTTGAAATTTAACTTGTTTATTCTTACTCCATAAGGGCAAGACGTTGTCTTTATTTAATACTGTATCCTTAGTGCCTAGAACAGTGCCTAGCACACAGGAGACGCTTAATATTTGAGACTGAATGAACAGGGTTGGGGAAAAGGCGCACAGAAAACAGAACTCTAATTCTTAGAGGTAAGGTGTTACCTAAGCAGATGTGAATTCAGAACTCACGTTTTTGGTCCACCTTTTCACCCCATCATAACCCTTGGTACGGAGTTTATCATAGAAGAAACTGTTGAAGAAATGCACCTGTGCCAATGACACAAAAAAGCTGGATGGAATTAAAAGACCTCAGACCCTCCCACTAAGTCTCCCCTCCCCAGCGACTCCATTTCATTATGACTGTAAGGACTGGTTTCAGCTATCCCCACTTATTTCACTGACAGTAAGAAAACAGGGGATTGTTTTTAATCTTATAGGTTCTCATCCCAATTCTTGGGGTGAGGGGAAAACACTAAAGACTGACAGAAAGGAAAAGAGTTGATAAAATTCAAGGCCAAGATTACAGATTAAAAATTAATAGATTACCATCTACCACCTCTCCCTAAGAAAAAGAGATCCTCTTTATGTAAAATGGAAGAGATGAAAGCAACTGAAAGCTGCTTAGAGCTGCAGAAGTTCTTCTGGGGACTGAAGTATCTGATTGGGCCTACCTTTTCCGGGACCATATCCATGACCAGGTCTCCATACATGTTCATCACCTGCAGTAAAGATGGGAGGCAACTTGCCATGGAGAGTGTGGCCTGGGTACAAGGCTCTGCCATGCAGAGGGCCCCAGACACCCTGCCCCCTCTGAATTCTCTCTCAGGCCTGTTTCTCTACCCCTTCTCACCTGGTCATTGAGCCAGTTCTGTCCATACAAGGTCCCCAAGTCATCCATGGTCAGCACGTGTCGCTTATAGGCTACTCGGAAGCCCCTCACCATAGCATTGCCTGGCATCCTCTGGTATGACTGGATCAGCTGCAGCACCAGGCCTTTCCTGAGTAGGCCAAGGGTGGAGTCATAAGAGACGACAGGGCTGGGGCACATGGAAATACCTACTACTGCCTAGAATAATAATCTAAACTGACCCTCTTTTTGGTTATGGGCCCTTTTGAGGACCTGCTAAAAGCCCACTCCCCAGAAAGAGGCATGTGAATACTGAGGTATACATAATATCTTAGGGTCCCAGGTAAAGACCCTCCCAAGTCAGCTTATAGGGACTTGGCACTTTTCCTGCAGATTCCTCCCCTTCAGCTCTACCTTCCTCCTCCTTTGCAAGTACATCCCTATAGGAGAAAAGGCAGCAGCCTTCTCTCTCCATCCCCCAGCCCTCCTTTGAAAGGCATCTGTCTCTCAAGCCTCACCTGGAAGGCGTAGAGAACTCCTGTTGAAAAATGTCCTCCAATTTCTCTACTACCTCATCAGTGCTGAGGGGGATGAGGCTGCCGTAAGTTTGAAGGAATTCATCTAAGATGCCTGAGTGGAGGAGGGAGAGAGGATTGGAGTGAGGCCTCTAGACTCTGATCTAGGAGTTGGCCAAGGGATAGAGACTAAGTCCTCTAGGGCTCCTTACTCTGCACGCAGGTCACATGCTCTTCCCGCAGGGGGCTGTGCTGGCCAGCTTTCTCCCCAGGCCGCTCTGCCTCTTCTGCAGTGCCCAAATCTGAGCCCTGAAAAAGCTCCTGGGCCACATGGTCCCCGATGCTGCACACATTGCTGATGAGGATGCTGGCATCAGGGGGTGCCAGGCTGCGCTCCCCTTCTGGCCCAGGTGGTCCCCCAAAACCATTGGGCAGGGTACACGAGAGGAGGCCTACAGGACAGTGGATATAGGATGAGGATGAGAAAATGGCCCAGGTGAAAGGACAATGGGAGGATTAACTGATGCACACAAATCATAAGACCACAAGGTTTTTTTTTTTTAATTTGTGGCTGGCCAGTAAGAGGATCTGGACCCTTGACCTTGGTGTTATCAGCACCACGCTCTACCAGTGAGCTAACTACCAGCCCTACCAATATAAACCTTAAGAAATGAAGACCCCAAAGCATAAGATAAGAATGTCCAAGAAGTTCTAAAAGGACAGAGAGAAAGAGTTCCTAGTCATAGAGAGGAGGAAAGCAAGAAAAGATTAAGGTTCAGAGATGTAAATTTCAGGGATATTTGTCACCACTATAACACCTAATTCCCAGCATAGTATCTGGCATATAGTAAAGGCTCAATAAATACTTGAATATTTAATAAAGATGTAGAAAACTTGAAATTGTTTGGCTGGAGTTCTCTGAGAGGGAGATATTCTGAGTGAGAATGTTACACACAACCATACAGATGATGTACTCCATTACCGGGAGAGATCCCATCCTACCACTGTGAGAATGGTGCCCTCTGGAGATGTACACACAGGGGCAATTCTCCTGAGAGGCCAAAGAGGGACTTCAAGTGGACAAGACTGATCTTTCCAAACCATGACTCCCTTTCTCATCTGTGCTCAAGACCACAGGGCACCTACTTAGGGATTCTGTTTTCCAGCTCTGACTCCCTCCCAAGTTTACTTCCTGCTCAAAGTGGAGCTTAATGAAGACATTTCACAGTTATTCTGGACCCCTCACTCTGTTATCCCACTTTCCTTAGGCCTAGTTCTCAACACACAAAAAGCTCCTGGTGTTCTAGGCTTTCAGACTCCTCCCATACCCTGCCCCTTTCCCACCTCACCTGAGTCTGGGTCCAGAGGAGACTTCGGAGTCCACCTTAGTCCATCTTCCTCCATGGGGAGCCCAGAGGGCACTGGTGGAGACCCTCTCACCCCATCCTCAGCCATGAGAGCACCTAGCAGACCCAGCCGGGGTGGGGGTGGCCCCCGGGGGGAGTCAAAACGACAGCAGGGGGATGGCACCTGTGGTGTCGCACCCCCTTCCTGGGGTGAAAGATGGTTCTTGGGGTGTGCAAGGCTCCGCCGCCGGCCCCTGTGGCGCCCCCAAAGCTTCCAGTGGAATGTCAGAGAGGTGCTTTTTGAGTAGAGCAGCATCCGGAAGGCTCTCATAGCTCGGCGGCGGCGCTGTGAGCAGGTTTTTCGATGAGTGGGGCGAGGAGGGCGAGGCCGCTGGGAGGCTCCCAGCTGACCCCATCTAGGGGGCAGCCTCCAAGCTGCCACTTCCTCCTCCTCATCTTCATCCTCCTCCTCCTCCTCTTCCTCCTCGTCTTCACTAGCTGAGGCATCAAAAGATGGCCGAGGGACAGGGAGGCGTCTGGCTGGCACTGTGGTCCCTGACCCAGGATCTGGCCCAAACCCTCCTCCTGACTTGAGTCGAGGTTTGGGGGGTGGGGGCCAACGAAGACGCTCCCGTCTGGGGCTTGAGTAAGCTGGGGCTAGGCCGGGTCCAGGAGGCTTAGGCCTCCAAGACCCGGTCCCTTGTATAGTCTCTTTCATCTTCCAATACCCTGTAAAACAAAGGTTAAAGTATCAGAATCCAAACATCCTGCTCCGCAGATCCTGCCTCTCTTCCTCAGCATGCCTCCTCTGGATTCAGACGCAAATAAAATAAGAAAATGAACAAACAAAATACTCATAACTTCACATCTTCCCAGTTAACATGATCCACAAGGGGCTCTTTAGAGTTGGTACCATCATCTATTTCTCTTGGCAGATAAAGGCTAAACAGCAGGCCCCAGAGATCTTATTTCTCAGATCACCAACTCAAACCCAGTATTTTCAGGCCCTACCTCTCTATTCTAATACCACCACGAGTATCCTTTGAGAGCCTAAGGGTGATTTCTTTGCTCAGGGAGATGGCTCAGCACAGGAATCCTGACATAGTACAGAAGTACTTGAGAAGAACACAACTTTCACAAGGAAACTGGTCTAGAGCGTGAAGACAGTTCCTCTCTACCACGCTGGAATGAATGGGGGTGTGGGCATGCTGAGGTCATCTCAGTGAGAATGGGGATATCGAGGCTATGGTTCAGGGGGTACAGTGTGACGAAAGGAGAAGGATTTTGAAGGAAACTGAGAGAACAAAATCGGTGCTTAGGCTGCCGAATCAAGACGCTGGGACACATCTGAGCTGCACGAGCCAGGCCGGCCCAGCCGCCGCTCCTGCTCCAACCCCGGGGAGCAGGATACATCCGAGCACCGAGCACCGGTATGGTCCTAGAAGCTCGGAAGGCTCCGCGCACAAGGGCTTTAAGAATTAAGAAGCCCCTTCGAGGGCCTCTTGGCCCCACTCAGTCAGGAGCGAGGCCCCAGGAATGGGAGAGGCCACAGGAGGGCTGGGGGGAGGGGAGGGGGCATCCTCACCGGGAGCGGAGAAGCCGGGCCGACGGACCCGAGCGCGGGCGTCTCCGGCCTCAGGCTTCCCGGTTCATCTCTCCGGCGACGGCGGCGGCCCCGCCACTCCCGCTGTCTTCGGACGCAGCCGTCTCAATTCAGGATTCCAACGCTTGTGGGCAGCGCGCCGCGCCGCCGCGCCGCCCCGCCGCGGCCGCTTCTTGCTCTGCTTCAGCTTCCACCTCCACCGCTACCACCTCCCCCTCCTCTTCTTCCCCCTCCCGCAAGCCCCAGGCCCACCGGCAATGGCGGCGCACGATTAATACGTCACAACCGGCGAACAGCGCCGGCGCGACCACCACGCGCCCAGCTCCGCCTACCCAAGACCGTAGACGCCACGGGACCGCCCCGCCCCGAGTGCTACGCGAGCTGCGCCTGCGCATATCCGCTGACCTGGCCCCGCGGGGCGGCTCCACCACTCGGTCTTTTGCGCGTGCGTGGCCCGTTCCGCCTCATGCCCCACGGCCTAGCCCTACCTTCTCAGCGCTCGTGGTCTGAACCTGGGGGCCCCCCCAATACTTTGGTCCAGTGGGGCGTTCCAGAGGATATCCTAGTACAGGGACGGGGCTGAGGTGAGGCAATGGGGGAAATGAAGTCGGGGTACCATTCATCCTCTTTTATTTAACTTTAAGCAGAGTTTTGAGCAGAAAGAAGGGCTCAGAGGAGTGAGGCAAGACCAGCAACATGGCGTACGGTTTATCCAAGGCTCCCCGGGGACCAGTCCCATTCTGGAGGGGCTTGGAGTGACTTGCCACGCCGGGGGAATAGAGAGGCAAAACTTGGGACCCGAAAAGTAATGTGGCTGCAAAGGGACCGTCGTCGTCGGGCACCCCCTGCAGACGGGCGCATAATAGATACACTTCTGGAGATAAGTGATGGAAACTGAGGACCAGTAGATGGAGAGAAGCAAGAGAGGGTGAGGCTTCTTGTGGGGCGAGGAGGCAAAGGGTACCTGGAGGAGGCGTGTCATAGGGAACCAAGGGTTTTCCCTACGATGGGTCCCTCAAACTGCCGCTAGATGGTGCTGCTGTTCTGGATGCATTCCAGTGGACGACCCGAAGCCGGCCTGGACGGTGCCTGGCACCCCACCCCCACCCGCACTTACACACGCGCGCGCACACGAATTTGGGGCTGGATGGGGGATAAAAGCCAGTTGTCTATGAAATCAAAACTTGGGGGTGGGAAGGGAAAAGGGAGGAACAGAGGGTCATGACGTCCAACACAGGAAGAGGCCTCTATTCTTGCCCATTGCCTGTCCTTTGTCTAGACGCTTTTGGCTGTTTCCAATATGTACGCACCCTGGTGTTCCAAGCTCATAACCACCTTTTATAACACAATCACAGTTTCACAAACCCCAGGAAGGTTCCATGTGGAGAGAGGCTAAGTTTTGCCCTTGCCCGGGGAATTATGACACTCAGAATATCCCCTTGGTGTAAATGGAAGACACCTGAGGAAAGAGAAAATACATGTTCAGTGAAGCACAGCCATCCAGATACTCTGATGTTTCACCCTGCCTTCTCCAGCTCCACCTTTTCTCTGCTTCCTGTAAGGACCTAGGTATTCTGTCCTTCATTCCTTAGCTCTGCCTCTGTACCCAGGCTCCCACCCCCCTCTTGTAGCTTCCCACACCATTAGGTCAGAGATGTCCTGCTCTTCTCACATCCACCTGCCACTGCCCACATGGCTCTTACCTGCGCTGTAGCAGCTATTGTAGGCCCGGTCCGGGTTGGAGGGCATACTTCTTATACATCGGAATAGAGTCTCCTGCCTTCCCTGGCCTTCCCGAGACACCACCTGACCCATGGTGAAAGTCACATCATGAAACAGGACCTGGTAGGGAAAGGAGGAGATGTTGAAGAAAACAGGATGGCAATGCTCAGATCTGGGAGGCCTCAGGAGCCCTGATAAGGGAACCAGGGAATGAAGAAGGGTCTTCTAACTTTGGTATGAACAGAGGGATTGGGAACTTTCAGTAGCAGAGCATACAGGCTTTGGGAGAACAGTGAAGAGCTGGTCTCCAGGCCGCCATGTGAGGCTCAGGGAATGCCTGGGGTTACCTGGCTATACAGCAGATAAACTCCAGCATCCCAGACACGAACAACGTAGCCTTGAGCCTCCAGGCCTCTCCCACGCTTAAGAGCTGGTTGCCACATCACCTCTGTCACGTCAGAATCCTCTGGAGGCGAGGAGTGTGGCAGTCAGGATTTCTTTGCATTCTCAGGTACTTACCAGCTCTCCCCTTTTCACCTGCAAGATTCTTTTGGGCCCCAGTGCCAGCCCCAAAGTTCCCAGTTCTTGCCCCTCCCAGAAAGCCATTATTTAAAATAGTGCTCACAGGGCTGGCCCGTGGCTCACTCGGGAGAATGTGGTGCTGATAACACCAAGGCCACGGGTTCGGATCCCTATATGGATGGCCGGTTAGCTCACTTGGGAGAGCGTGGTGCTGACAACACCAAGTCAAGGGTTAAGATCCCCTTACCAGTCATCTTTAAAAATAAATAAATAAAATAAAATAGTGCTCACCCTTGGAGGTGATGTTAATGGGAACAAGGTGCAGAACTGAGTGCCTCTCTGAGGAGAGAAGGAGGAAATCTCAGCAGTGTCCCCCTACCCCGTTGCCCTGTTGTCAGCCCTCCACCCTCACCCGACTCCAGCTAGCAACCCCCGTGCTGCACCCTGGAGGCCTCACTCTTCTGTTTCTGGGTGAGCACTGCTCTCCTTCTCCGGGACCTCTCCCCATCCTCCCAGGCTTCCAGGGCGTCAGAATTCTGCTCATGGAAAGAGGGTCAGAGTTAGACTAAGATGCAAAGGTCCCAGACAGCCTCCTTCACAGCTGTCTCCCCACCCCAGGAAAGCCTCAATCTCTCTTGCACCTTTCCCCAGCACCCTGAGTCTTGGTGCTGGCCGTCCTCCAGGATCTGTTAAGCAGGAGAAGCATTAACCTTTAACAGTTTCCTTTCCTGGAATGGCCGCTCCCTTGGTTTCCAAACCTGGGACCCTCTCTTGCACCAATTGAAACTTTGCACAAGAGGAGGCTCAGAGACCCCGCAGCCACCCAGCCTTTTCTCCCAAACACTCTTTTCCTCTACTCACCTGCTCCTGGAGGCTCAGCCAGGGATACTCTTCCCCCTTCTGGGAGGGCCCTCCAGTCCTCTGTAGCCGGCTCACCTCTCTCCTTAGGCTTTGCAGCTCTGCGTGTTGGGTCAGCAGAGCCATGGCACAAGCCACAGCCCCCAGAGCCGCCCCCCAACTCAACCAGAGAGCAACTGAGAGTGCCGGCTCTCGGACAGGGGCCCCCATGTTGCCCGGGGGCCCTTTGGGGGCTAGTAAGAAAGGAGATGAGGCTGGCATGAGCTGGGGACCCTGCCAACAGTTGTGGGGTGGCAAGGAGGTGGCGGGGAGGGTGGGGGTGTGGGCAGTGGTGCAGAAGGGAAGAAGGGCGTTACGCAAGGGAGAAATAAAAAGGAACTTGAATAAAAGGGAGGGAGGAGGAAAGCAAGCAAGGGGTATTGTTGGTCCTCCTTGCTCCCCACTGTATGACCAGTGTCGCTTTGAGACCCCCCCCAACTTCCCCCAGCCTCAGGAGAATTTGGTGCCAGTCTCTCTAGGAAGGTTGGGCTGCCAGTGACAATCAGGAGGAGCTGCCAGAGCGCAGGAACCCTGGGCGGCCCCAGAGTGGGGGGAGGGAAGCCTGGCTGGCTTTGGGGCTAGTGCCAGGAGCAGGGACAAGGGGACAACCAGATGGTGTCGAGGGTCGGGGGGGTGAGGGTGGAAGAGGGTGCCTCTAGGTCAGGCATGGGAGAGAGCTCTGAGGGAGTTTGCTGGAAGTGACTGAAGGTGGGAAAGGAAGGGTGGGGGTCGGTGGGGAGGACCACGGAAGCGAGAAACTGGCTGCGTTCTGGGGTTAAGGCCTGGCCGGGTGTGTTGGAATACCGCCTGCACTGCTCCCTGCACTGAACTTGGCAAGCAGGACTTCCTGTTTCCCGAGAAAAGCTCTTACATAAGGCTCTGGACAAAGAGACAAAAAGGCAGCCCCAAGCCCCCCAGCCACGGCAGAATTCCTCCCCAGCACCCAGGAGCCCAGGTTCCCATGTGCCTAGGCGCCCTGTGTCCTGCCTACAGACTCTGATCCCCCCGGCAGGCCTGCTCCCACCCCATCTCCCAGCCAGGGCCTGTACCAGCACCTGCTGAATGTCCCGAAGCTGCCAAGAGGAAGGGCCCTGCTCCTCCTGGTCAGGGATTCCCCTGAAGGAGGAAGCCCGCCTCCTAGGGAAATGAGGCTGCTTCTGCTGTACCTTGGGCACAGCATTGATTTTTTTCCTGGGCAGTGTGCCTTTCCACTCTCTGCTTACACCTGGGCGTTGGAGGCATGGAGGTCTCCACTCCCAAGCCTGAATGTCACCCTGGAATTCCAGCTGTCCTCCACCCCACTCCCCAATACCCAGAACCCCTTCCTCAACTACCTTGGGCATGTCCCCAGAGCCCCAATAAAGAGAGAGACCATGAATTGTTCTCTTTAATATCCACTTATCAACATTTTGTCACAATAATAATAAAAATAATATCTGTTTTAAAAATCCACAGGGAATTATCAAGGGAGGAGCTTGTCTCAGTCTCTTACCCCTCACATGTGGGAACTCCTGGCCTAGTCTCAGTCTCTTTGGCTTCCTGCTGCCAGGTCCAGCCCTTCTTAGTGCCTGAAGTGGGGTCTTCTGGACCCATTCTTGCCCACTGAGTACAGTAAACAGTGCCCTGGGGGGCTGTGGCCAGGGGGGAGTCAGGGGGCCTCAGGAGATCAGGGGTTTGGGAGCTAGTGAGGTGGAGAGTGGGAGGTGGGGGGGCGTTGTATGAGAAGAATGGGAATATTTGTGTGTGATGGAAAACACAGGAACAAGCCCCGGTAGCCTAACAGGGAGGGGCAGGCCTGGAGGGAGCAGGAGCTCAGGGTGGGACTGAGAGGACTGGGGTGTTCAGAGAGCTATTTGGGGAAGCCAGCAGCCTGGGAAATTGCCAGGAGACCAGGGTCCCTCAATGAACCTGGAAGAGTCCAAAGTAGGTGAGGAAGGGGGCAGCCTTGAGATGGGCCCAGGGGAGGGTGCGGATCCTCAGGGAGGACCCTGGCCTCAGGGGCAACAGCCCAGACACTTGGCAGAGACGAAGCTGGGGCCCGATGGAACTCGCTGCTGTGGCTGAGAACTCCTCCAGGCAGCGCAAGGCCAGCACGTTGTCCACGAGTAAGTCCAACTTCAGATAGACAGCCTTCCCCTCGTCAAAGTGCACCTGGGGTGGGGGGAAATTTCAAATTTCCTTAGAGACTCAGGCATCTCATCCCACCCAAACCCCAAACTCTCCCTTCCTCCCAAACCAAGCCCTCCTCCCCTCAGTTACAGCTTTGCTCATGGAGCCAGGGGGCTTACCTGACAGTACAGGTAGTAGAGCCCAGCCCGGGTGACTATAAATTCCCCGATCTGGTGGTCATAGCGCAGAGGGTTGGAGCTGTTGATTTTGGCTTCCTCCCAGCCACTCACTGTCCCATCCACACCTGAAAGCAGATGTTCAGAGATAAGGAAAAGTCCCTTTACAGGACTCCCCCGCTCTCCCCAGGGAACCATTGAGTTTATAAACATTTGGGGCCCATCTTACCCAGAAGATATTACATTGCCCAGAGCAGGGGAGGAGCCATGCCTTATGGAGCCCCTAGCATAATAGGAAGTTATGTGAAGAAACCTAACATACCTGACCAGAAAGATTCAGAGCAAATGTCACCAGTGGTCAATCGTGGGGGGAGGAGTAGGACTGACTGAAGGAGAAGTGAGGGGGCTTTAACATTTTATGCATCTGTGTCTACATTGCCTCTTTCGAATTGTGAACATATACATACATGACTTGAACTTTTACAATTAAAAACAATAAAAAATTTTAAAAATTAAAATGAAAAACAATAAAATGACACCCAAATGTTCATCAGCTGATGAATGGATAATCAGAATGTGGTATATCCACACAATGGAATGTGATTCAGCCATACAAAGGAATGAAGCTCTGACACATGCTACAGCATGGATGAACCTTGAAAACATCATGCTGATTAAAAGAAGCCAGTCTCCAAAGACCACTTATTGTATAATCCAATTTATACGAAATCTGCAAATAGGCAAGTCTATAGAGACAGAAAGTAGATTATTGGTTGCTTAGGGCTGGGGAAATGATGGGAATAAGGGTGATGGCTAAAGAGTACAAGATTTGTTTTTGAGGTGATAAACAGGTTCTAACATCACCATGGTGACTGATGGTTGCACAACTCTGTGAATACACTAAAGACCATTGACTCATACACTTCAAATGGGTGAATTGTATGGTATGTGAATTACATCTCAATAAAACTGTTACCAAAAAAAACCCCCTAAAACAAAAAACAAAACCATAGAGCTAGGGTAATTGCAAATTGCAAAGAAGAGAAACAACCAAATGATGGAGCAGGGTAGCACGTGTCTTCCCAGGTCTACCCTGGCCCACCTGGTCTAGCTCTGCAGTCTCATCGCACATGCTCCCTAGTCCACAGCACCCCCAGCCGCTCTGGCTTTCTTTCTGTTCCTACTATGCACCAAGCTCATTCTCTCTGCAGGGCTTCTGAGGACTCTTCCCTCTTCCCAGGATTCCTCCCCTGGCCGGCACCTTCTGTCTTCCTGGGCCACCCAGTTTCAAATGGCCAGTCCCAGCCTTCCTCACTAATCTCCTCATCACCCTGTTTCTTTCTCTCATAGCAGCCACCAACATGAGAAGTTATCTTGATTCTTTCTCTCTGGGTTGGTTTGGGCTCCGAGTCCCCCATGAGGCCAACAAGGATCGTCTTATTCACCACTGTATCCTTGGGCACCTGCAGCTGGGTCTGGTCTGAGCAGGTGCCCAGTAAGCACTGGCAGGAAGACTGATGGGAGTGAGGAGACGGTGGCTGACAGCTCTCTTCTCCTTTGGGGCCACAGGCCACTCTCCCGGGACTCCCTGGCTGGGTCTCAGGAGCCTCGGCTATTGCCTTCCCCTGCCCCTCTTCCTCTGCCAGCCCCGGGCTCTGTCCTTGGCACTTTTTCAGGTAAAAGCTAACTCTCACTGGGCATTTTCATTCCCGCCTGTGGATTACCACAACCTGTGCCCTGCGGAATCCAGACCCGAGCCTACAGCCCCAGCGTTTCCTGCCCTTCCTCACCCGGCTAAGGGCTGCCATGTGAATAGCAACAGGCACCTCAAACTCATCCTGACCAAAACTGTGCTGACTCTCTCACCCCAAATCTGCTTTACTGTCTGTATGGTTCCACCACCGACTGGCCACCCAAGCCACCTCTCCTCCACCAACTCTATTCCTTGATCCCCAGTTCCTATCAATTCTGCCTCCCAGATAGCTCTGTCCTATCTCCCTCCCCAGTCTGGTCCCAGCCTAGATTCCCTGTTTCCAACCTTACCCTCCAGTTTATTCCCTGCACAAAACTGCAGAGTACTGTTTCTAAGATGGAGGTGTGAGCTGCCTCTCCTTGCTGTGATCCTTCTGACAGCTCACCTCCCAATAACTGTCATTCTCCTTGTGGGACCTGGCTTCTGTCTTCTCCACCTCACCCCCACCCTGCTTCAGCCACGTGGAAATTCTCATCCCCCAGTCTCATCAAACTCTTGGCAAACTCAGGGCTTTTGCACCAGAGTTTCCTTCTACCTGCAACATCCTTGACCTTTTGTTCCTCTCACACTTCCAGGCCCAGTGAAGCCTCACCTTTGTAGGGAAGGAGTCCCTGACCCCACTGTAAAGGGGTGTGTCTTCCTCTGTGTTTCCATGTGTCTTTGACTACTTACATATTTTTTTTTTTTTTTTTTTTTTTTTTTTTTTTTTTTTTTTTTTTTTTTTTT